TCAGATGTTGGAATTACATGACACAAATTTTTTGAAAGTCGTTATAAAAATGCTCCAAAATTCAATCACAGATTATGTTGAGACAAACGAAAAACTGAACAATCTCAGCAAAAGAAGTTACTAAAAAATAGCCAAATGGAAATTAAGAAACTAAAAACTACAATATAGAAAATATCTCATTTTGTGGGCTTTATACAAGTGAAAATGATTTACCATATAGCTGCAGTAATTAAGATCGTGTGGTGTTACTAAATGGTTAGACACATAAATCAACAGAATAAAATCAAGATCCTGGAACAAGATGCACACAAATATGTTCAACTGGTTTTGGCAAGGGTAAGCAGGTGATTTAATGGAGGAAAGATGATCTTTTAAACACATAAGGCAGTAGCATTTGGGCATTCATAGACCAAAAAAAAAAAAGTACTTTAATGTAAACCTCACACATCATAAAATAATCAACTCAAAATTGATCATAGACTTAAATATAAAACACAAATCTACAAAACTTTAAGACAAAAGAGGAACATCTTTAGGATCTAAGAATAGTCTAAGAGTTCTCAGGCTAGACACCAAAAGCATAATCCAAAAAAGAAAAAATTGATAAATTGCATCTCATCGGTGGTTAAAAAAAGGTCTTTCTTTGAGAGTCTATGTGAAGAAGAAGAAAATACAACCTACAATCGAGGAGAAAATATGGCAAACTTTATATCTGGCAAAGGACTGGTGTTTAGTACATACAAAGAACTCTCTAGACTCAACAGTTGAAAAAGATGAAGAGACATTTCACTGAAGAGGAAATGAATAAAACAAATAGCACATAAAAACAATGTCCAACATCATTAGCCATCAGAGAAATGCAAATTAAAACAGCAATGATATATCACTCTACCCCTATCAGAAGGGGTGAAATTAATAATAAACAACATCATCACCAAATGCTAGTGACAATGCAGAGAAAATGAATCAGTCATATATTGCTGTTGGGAATGTATATTACTGTACCCACTGAAAAACAGTTTGACAGTTCCATATAAAACTACACATAAATTTGCCATATGACCAGGCAATTACATAGTTAGGCATTTCTCCCAAAGGAATGAAAACTTATTTTCATTCAAAAACGTGTACATGAGTATTCATAATAACCTTATTTGTAATAACCAGAAATATGAAGGAGTCTGAATGTCCTTCAACAGCGGAATGGTTAACCATCTGTGGTACGTCGGTAGCATGGAATACTATGCAGCAATAAGGATGAATGAAAAACAACTTAAGTGAATCTGCAGAAAATTATGCTGCATGAAAAGAGTAAACTCCTAAAGGTTAAATTCTGTATTCTTAAATGTATACAGCATTTTGAAATGATAAAATGTTAAAAATGGAGAATAGATTAGTGGTTAGGAATTAGTGACAGAGCTGGGTAGGGTGGAAAAAGTATAGTCATAGGGATGGTTGTAAAAAGGCAAAATAGGGATCTTTGTGGTGTTGGAATTTCTTAGTATCTTGACTGTGGTGGTAAATATATGCGCCTGCAAGAGTGATAAAATTATAGAGAACTTGATATACACATATACGCATAAAGTAAAACGGGGGCAATTTGAACTATGTTCAGTGGACTGTATAAATCTCAAAGTCCTTGTTGCGATATTTAATATAGTTTTGCAAGATATTGCTATTAGAGGAAACTGAGAGGAGCATAGTAACGATATCTATGTAGTATTTAATGTAATCGTATGTTAATTTATAATTATCTTAATAAAAGTTTCAATTAAAACTGTTGCTTGACTTTATTTGGAGCAGTACATGTGTTGACTGAGCATATAGCTCTAAAGGAGTGACCAGGAGGAGTCGGGGTGACAATGTGTGTTGCTTTATAATGGCTGATCTTAGGAAAGTATTAAAAGAAAACGATGTTATTAGTCAATAACTGGCTACTTTATAAGTAGAAAAAGAAAGAGACAAGCAGCAGTTCAGACATTTGGGACCTTAAAGGATTGGTAAAATCACCACTTCTGAGACCTCAAAATAGGAAGTAAGATTGAAAAAGCTTTGGATTGACAAAGACCCTTGAAGATTTAGCATTTCTGCAAAAAGTAGTGTCTCAGCTTAGTTGTCTTGAAAGCAGAGCCTGAGACAGTTTTATGTTTGGGTGTCTTATTTGAGTAGGAATGAAAGACTAGGACAACAATCAATGCAGGCAAGGAGAAAGTTCCAACCTAAGATATATAATGACAGTGGCCACTGCTGTGTGTGACAGGTGCCAATCATAACAAGACCTTCTGAGAAGGCTTATGCAACATGCCTCAGAATGTCAACCCATTAAGTGGAAAGAGGCATGGGCAAGCGAGCAACAAGTAGATTATAACCCTTACTTTGGGGATAAATCATATTGCAAAAATACTACCAAACAGCCTTTGATTCTTTGATGTTTGTTTGTTTATCTATTTATTTATTTATTATACTTTAAATTCTGGGATACATGTGCAGAACGTGCAGGTTAGTTACATAGGTATACGTGTGCCATGGTGGTTTGCTGCACCCATCAACCCATCATCTATATTAGGTATTTCTCCTAGTGCTATCCCTCCCCTAGTCCCCCACCCCCCTGACAGGCCCCGGTGTGTGATGTTCCCCGTCCTGTGTCCATGTGTTCTCATTGTTCAACTTCTACTTATGAGTGAGAACATTCGGTGTTTGGTTTTCAGTTCCTGCGTTAGTTTGCTGAGAATGATGGTTTCCAGACTTGGAACCAACCCAAACGCCCATCAATGATAGACTGGATAAAGAAAATGCGGCACACATACACCATGGAATACTATGCAGCCATAATAAAGGATGAGTTTATGTCCTTTGAGGGACATGGATTAAGCTGGAAACCATCAATTTTTTGATATTTAAAACAGCCTTCAAGGCCAGGCACGGTGGCTCCTGCCTGTCATCCCAGTACCTTGGGAGGCCAAGTGGCTGGATCGCCTGAGACCAGGAGTTTGAGATCAGCCTGGCCAACACGAAAAAACCCTGTCTCTACTAAAAATACAAAAATTAGCTTGGTGTGGTGGTGGGTGCCTGTAATCCCAGCTACTTGGGAGGCTGAGGCAAGAGAATCATCTGAACCTCAGAGGTGGAGGTTGCAGTGAGCCAAGACTGTGCCATTGCACTCCAGACTGAGTGACAGAACAAGACTCTGTCCCAAAAATAACAACAGAACAGCCTTCAAGACTCCATGTGTATACCAGCAGAAGTGGACTTTACAGATTTACAGAAACCTGTCAGATCTGAAATATGCACCCTGGAAAATGGACAAGAAAAAACTCCCAGAGGATAGAGCGAAGATCCATAAAGAACAAGGGACAATGATTGTTTCTTCTAAAGAGCAGAAGCAGGATTTAAGTAGGAAATGCACCTGCTTTCTCAAGGTGGATGACCTTCATAAAGCCAGTTCAGCAGGACATCCAAATTGCTTCAGACCAGCTTCTTCTGTGGTTTCCCATTTGCTCACTTTCTGATTTAGAATGTCTTCAAAATTGAGGAAGATGGGAGGATAGACAATTTCTTTTTCTTTAAAATAAATTATTGAATGATAGGAAGACCTATCCAGACCTGATGGAGAAGCTGAGCACATCTTGGAGATGCTCCATATTAGATTTTCAACAGGATGCATTGGGATGTGAAATATCCAGCCTGATTCTCTTGGGAAAGGTATGAGAGGTTTGCTGTGGGAGAGATAAGGGAAACATATACTTTGGTAGTGACCAGAAGGGTGGACTGAGAACTGAAAACAATGTCCACCTTTTTCTCTTTTGGGGCACACAGCTAGACTATGTTTTACAAGTTCCCTGCAACTACACAGAGGTGACATCCAGCCAGTGAAAAATGAGTAGGGGTAACTTGCTTCATCCTTAGAACCGACCCATTAAATAACACATCTCCCATAGATAATTTGTAATTCTGTTTTTCTATTTGTAGCTGTGTGGACAGACTTCAAAGAACTTAAATGTAGGTGGAGACAAAGATGGAGAAACACTGGTTTCCAAACATCTTTGAAAATGCAGAGTCCTCTTGCTAATCCATACTGAACTGTAATTTATGTAGTATGGTAAAGAAAATAAATTTTTCAGATGCAATGCAAACCTCTAATCGATTGATTTTAACTTAATCAAAAGGGATATTATTCTGGGTGGCCATTACCTAGTCACATAATCCCTTTCTCAGAGACTACATGTCAGTCTTGGAACAGAAGGCTCTTTCCATTGCTGGCTTTGAAGAAGCAAGGTGCCATGAATCCTGTAGCCGCAGAAAGTTAATTTTCTAACAATCTGATGGAGTTTGGAAGCAGATTCTTCTCCAGTTGAGCCTCCAGGTGAGGACAAAGCCTGGTGAACACCTGGATTTCATCCTGGTGGGACCCTGAACAGAAGACTCAGTTAAACTCTACCCACACTTCTGAGCTATAGAAATTGTGAGATAATGAATGTATGAATGCACGCAGTTTTAAGCTGCTAAATTTGTGGCCATTTTTAATGCAGCAATAGAAAACTCATGCAGTTACCTTGCCTAATATAAATCTTAATTATTTTCCTGAAAAAAAAAAATCTCATGAGGGTCTTCTTAAAGCAAAGAGTTTTTCCCTTATTTTTTCATTATTTTCCCTTATTTTCTGATATCAACCAGAAAAAGTTGAATAGAAAAGAACCCCTGGTGTGCAGCATGTTCTCCTTCACATCTTTGTCCCTCTTGAGTTGAACTGATCTACTGTTGTGCAGTACTTTTTAGAATTTTATCATATCGATGAATCACTTGACATATAATTAACTACACTTTTTCTCTTTATATCAGCTCTCATTTTTACTTATTTAAGTCGATGCAAAGAGTGAGTTAGCTATGGTAACACTAGCTGCTATAAGATATAAATAAACAAATCTCAATGACTTAGCAGAGTAAAAGTTTATTTCTTCTTATGAAACATTCTAAAGATGAATATGCTCCAGCAAACTAACCTGTGCAACTGTCTTCAAGGCACTGACTCAGGACCAATTTTTGTTTCTAAGTTTTATATCTCAGTGGTCTTCAACATACAGTTTCTAAAATAGTCCTGGTGTTCATCTCCATATCATCTAATCTGTGGGTAAAAGAGAAGGAAGAATCATACAAAGAAAGATTTTATGTGCTAGACTTTGAAGTAGTTCCCATTATATCTAAACAATTTCATTTACTCTAACTAGTCTCAGAGATATGCCTGATTACAAGGGCTGAGATTGATGTCTCATGGGTTGAGGCCAGAGATGTTGATAATCATTCTCTAAAGCACAGGGCAGGCCCCCACAGTGAAGAGTTGTCTGGTCCCAAATATCAACAGTGCCAAGACTGAGAAACCCTGGAATAAAGAGCAACCGATTTGTACATTCTCATATTATTTATTTATATAGGAAAAATCTCAAGCATATCCTATGTGCCATTTACTGCTGTATGTTCAGTGATGCAGAAGTGGTAAGACAGACGGAGCCCTTTTCCTCCTATGTTCTGGCTTATTACATATATGGCCCTGTTAACCTCTCTGAAATTTATGTTTCTTACCAATGAAGTAAGAGTTAATATAGCTCACAGGGCACGTATGGAGTTTAAATGAGACAATGTATGTGTAACGGGATGTTAAAATGGAACTCTTCATGCTTCATGAGGCATGAATTCAACAGATGCTACATTCCAAAGTGAATAGGGACAGAACACCATGGAAAAATGACTGGTTGTGTAGCTATCACACAATGATGATATAAAAGCATAGACAGAGTAGTGATCCAGGAGTCTGCAAAGGGGACTTTTGGAAAGGACAGTGGGGCTGATGCAAATGTGGAGGGGTGGGAGACTGATAAGAAGACTGTGGCAGCACAGTGCGGTTTGACATGCGTTCCTGCAGTTGAGGCAGAGAGGGAAGAATGAGTGCTGATCCATGTCTGAGAATATTGTCATAACCTTAAGCTGCAGGGTGGAGGGCCATGCGTGAGAAATCAAGTCAGGTCACTCTCTCTGACAGCCAGACATACGTGGGGCTTCAGGACCAGATGAGATAGGCTGGGAGCCCTGTATCCTCTCTAAAGGGGTCCTGCCAGAAAGGGCGGCCTTCCACGGTGATAAAACCTAGCAGTAATGGGTTGTGTAGTTTTTTGTTAGGGCAGAAGCCCAGTGGTAATTTGGGAGGAGGCAACCAAAGGAGGCCACACCATAGGAATTGCAGTGCTAGAATACCAGAAACTCACAAACACACACACACACACACACACACACACACACACACAAACCAAAAGGGCAAGCTCTACTCACCTGCCAAATGTGAAAACAACAGATACAAACTTTGTTGTTCACATCACCTCAACTCTCACTTCTCTGTTTGGTGGGGTCAGAAAACTGTTTTTGAAATTTGGGGCTGGGCGCTGTGGCTCATGCCTATAGTCCCAGCACTTCGGTAGACCAAGGCGGGTGGATCTTAAGTCAGGAGATCGAGACCATCCTGGCCAACATAAAGTACAAAAATTAGCTGGGCGTGGTGGTGCATGCCTGTAATCCCAGCTACTTGGGAGGCTGAGGAAGGAGAATCGCTTGAACCAGGGAGTCGGAGGTTGCAGTGAGCTGAGATCATGCCACTGCACTCCAGCTTGGGTAACAGAGCGAGACTCTGTCTCCAAAAAAAAAAAAAAAAAAAAAAAAAAAAAAAAAAAAAAAAAAAAAAAAAAAAAAAAAAACTATTTTGTGAGTTTGGAGAAAGACCCAGTGGGGGGAAAAAAACAGTAGGAGGACATTGCCATTGCCACCCTCTCTCACTTTAAATGGGCGATTCAAAGTCAATGCCAACTTGTAGAGGACACAAGATTTAAAACTAAATCAAGTTCAGGAAATTCATAAAGACAGACTAGATAGATGAGATGACAAACCCCACAAAGCCAGTGAATTCACACCACAGATCTGCATTTCTCCTCCTATAACATGTCTAAATTTTGTGAGTAGGTATGCATATGTATTGGGAGGGGGTAGGCAGGCCTCTGGGTCACAGCTTCACTTTTTCACTTTTTTTGTTTGTTTGTTTGTTTTCATATTCCAATGGCCAGAATTCAACAAGCAGGCAGCAAACCTAATTGCAATGAAACTTAAGGAAATATTATTTTTCTAAGTGCCCAGGATGGAGAGAGTTGGATGAGTGAGCACTTGTAAGCTTCCAGCTTTCCAAGTTAAAATTCATGGGGACTGGACATTTTCAGTTGCTGACTTCAGATGGTGTTTGCAAATAAAGTGTAATCAAGGAAGTCAGGGAAACTGGGAGTTTTCACTGAAGGGAAGCAAAAATATGGCTAGCTCTAAATGGGTTTAAAATGGGTTAGAAGCAAATATAAAGTGGTTTTATTAGACTCCATGAGTCCAACAAGTTTGACTTTCTGATAACATAAGTAAAACACTAAACACATTAAAGCACACATAGTAGGCACTACGGGAGGATTTCCTTCCTGTATTTCTCTTGTCCATGGGCAAATAAAGTTTCAGTATCTGCCTGATCCCAGATGTAAAGAAAAATCATATCCCATGCAATTTCATTTTCGTTAACACTTATCATTTCCTTAGCACCCACTTTAAGCCACATGCTTTGCAATACCACTTTCATTTTTTCTATACGACAATTAGCTGGCGGCCCCATGTTTCTGCAATGGGGTTGAGGTAGAAGACTGCAGAAGGTGAGGATACACAAAGTCATAACTTTCTTGGCAATAGTTTTACTCAAATATTGAGCAAGTAACCTCACTTGTAAGAAATAGCAAATATTATATGTCTATTGGAGGACAGCGTGTTTGTGTTTATATGTGTGATTAAGTTTTTACCCTGATAGATGTGCCAGAAAATTCTTTTGTTTTCTGAAGAGAAAATCATCTCTGAGTCACTGAAGAAAAAGTAAATTAATCAGTGGATATAGGACATTCTGATGAACACAGATGAAACCTATCCTTTCATGACTATAAGCTAATTCTATACTCTGGGGAGGAATTTTATAAGACTGTTAATATACTGAGGCAAAAAAAAAATAAGAACTGCTTTGAGTCCTATGGATGTGACTCTCTGAGAAAAAAATATCAACAGAAATTTAGGATTTACATAGAGGCATATGTATGAACCCCATTCAGAGACAGGATTTGGAGAGCAATAGTTGGCTCAAGTAAAGGCATGGTACACAGCTGAAAGTCATGGTGAAAAGGTGAATCAGCTTCCTCGAACTCCACATCATGGAACACCAAGACATCTTCATCAAGGTTACTCATAGCATCATTTGAGACATGGACTACCAGCTCATTCTAAATCTAGATGACAGTGGTAAACTGATTGAACAAAAGTACTGTACTCATTTGAGCATGGAAGGCCATCTGACCTAAAATGCACCCAATATTTCCTTGCATTTTAGGCCATTTTCATAGGATATCTTCTGACAGGGGGATTACTGAATGAACAGTACCATCATTTTAAAATAAGCATTTGTAAATAAAGATTAAAATTTTTTAAAACCTGCTTATAACGAATGTGTGTGGGGATGACAGGAGATGAAATGAATGAAATGCACAGCTCAGTTTTTTTATTTGGGTCATTGCTAAACATGTTTTTAGTTATATTATACCTGGTTATATTGCTACACACAATATAACTAAGCAGCTTCCATGCTGTCCAGATTTTCTTCTTGAGAACATGTGGGTGTGTGCAACTCATGGGAGGAATACTGTGGTTTTCTAACTCTTCTTTCTTTTTCTTTTCTTTTCTTTTTGTTTGTTTGTTTGTTTGTTTGTTTTGAGATAGAGTTTCACTCTTGTCACCCAGGCTGGAGTACAGTGGCAAGATCTCGGCTCACTGCAACCTCCACCTCTTGTGTTCAAGCAATTCTCCTGCCTCAGCCTCCCGAGTAGCTGTGATTACAGGCACCTGCCACCATGCTCAGCTAAATTTGTGTGTGTATTTTTGATAGAGATGGGGTTTCACCATGTTGGCCAGGCTGGTCTTGAACTCCTGACCTCATGTGTTCCACTGGCCCCAGCCTCCCAAAGTGCTGGGATTACAGGTGTGAGCCACCACGCCTGGCCTCTAACTCTTCTTTCTTTGCAGAAAATGCCTGGTCTCTTCCTTACTTCCTTTGCCATTCAATTTCCTCATCTTTCCTCCTTGCCCCTGTCCTCCCACATCAGTGATTAGACACAAAGTGCCACCCTCAATCCATCAGCACATTGCACAGAACTCCTTGGGGGGCAGCTCCCTTACATCTCTCTCCCCACATGTAGTTGGTCTCAGCTGAAGAAGAAAAGATATTACTTCAGGTGACCAGGTACAGATACAACTCATATTTCTTCAGGGTTCCAGAGGACCCTCCCAGAAAAAGCAGGAAACTTTACCCCAGTAAATGGATAAAGGGAATATTTGGGAAGAATGAGAGATTGACCAAAACAGGAAGGAGCTATAAACCTTGGCTCTAGGATAATTTTGAAGATGAGAATCTGTGCCATTATCAACATCATTATAGCCAGAATATTAATTGAGCTTCTTCTCTGTGGTAGGGAGTCTATAAACCTTACTTCATTTAATGTCTCCAATGACTTTTTGATGTAGATACTACTATTTAGGATATGCACACAATGAAATTGAGACCCAGAAAATTAAGCAAGTTTTGCCAAGGTCAGGCAGCTGTACCTATGTATTAGATTGATGTAAAAGTAATTGCAGTTTTTGCCATTACTTTTAACGGCATTATGGAACAATGACACAGAGTCTCCCCCTCTCCCTGGTTCCCACATCATGACTAGTCTCTCTGGATCTTCTCTATATGGCACTGGGGTCTGTGTTGCATCCTAGGTCAAAAACTCAGAAACTAGATCCTGGAAACCCTCATTCACTTTCCCACCTTCATGAGCTAGCTTGATGATACCTCTGAGACTCTTTTCTGCCAGAGGAAAGTAGTAACTTCTGATGTTTTCAATAGAATTCATGAAGAAAGATTTTAATTTCAGGTCAAGAAAAACAGTTAGTGTAAAAAGCCCCAAGCAAAGCTAAACTGTAATGATCATCTCTGTACTGATTGCTTTAAATCTTTTCCAAAACGAGGCA